CCCCCCCCCCAGCCTTCAGCCACCAGGCCATAGAGCAGATGGCACTTGAACTCCAGAGACCGAAGACGCCGCCTGGAGGATTTGCACGCGTCCCCACCCGTTGCCCCGCAAGCGCTCAGCTTCGGGGCAGGAAGGGGCGGGCACTGCGGAGTTCCTTTGCTGGGGTTCTGTGTTGCCATAGCGACCCCGGCCAAGGCTGCGGAGCACGCGCTGCTTGCGCAGACAGGGACCGGAACCTCCAGGCCGCTGCCCCCACCCCACCCTCCCACTCCACCCGGGTCCAAGGCTACAAGACTGGTGAGTGCAGGGGAGCGAGGGCAGGGGGGCCGGGGTGTCCTCCCATTGTTGCAAGTATTGTTGTTAATATCAAAACAAGCCGGCAGAGTCAGCACGCGCAACTGCAATGCAAAACCTGCTTTTCCTATCATCGGCTTGTGTATTAAGCATCAACCTCCTCCTGAGTTTGACATATGTCCCCGAAAGTGTGGGATGATGAGTTTATATTACCCCAACGAAGTCAGTCACACGCTATGATATTGTGAGAATGTTTTTCCTTTCAGCGCACTCTTACAATTCTGAGTAAACTAAGGAGAAAGTGTCAGTTTGGGGCTAATAGGGCATTAACACCTCTGAACAGTTGCTAATCTCTCTCACTCTCTCACTCTCTCTCTCTCTTTTTAAACATAGTGTCTAGCAAAGACTTAAACACATTGGTTTCTTTCTTTTTTATTGTGGTAAAAATATATAAAGCAAAACATTGGCCTTTTTAACATTTTTTACATGTACAATTTAGTGACTTTAGTTAGTTTCATCATATTTTGTGGTTTATTTTTTAACATTTTTATTTTTTATAGTTATCTTTACCCTAGGTCACCCTAACTCGACTGTCCATTCAAAGCAATGATATGTAAATTCTCCTTTTTTGATAGATGTATTATTTTATTTAAAATAAAATAATTTAAATGTTGTTGTTATGTGCCATTGAGTTGGACCCGACTCATAGCGACCCCTCCTTGGTTTGTCCAGGCGGTATCACTACAGAAGTAGATTGCCCAACCTTCTTCCGAGGAGTGGCTGGTGGGTTTGAACTGCCAGCCTTCTGGTTAGCAGTCAAGTGCCTTAGGCACTATGCTACCAGAGCTCCCAATTTAAATGAAAAGATGAATAATAGTGCAGGTAGTACTTGGAATAAGAAAAAGTCATCCAACTGAGGACCTAAGGCTGCCCACTCCCACTTTTGCTCTTGGGACAGACTTGAAAACACTGGAGACCCTGGGAACATGAGCACGGGGGGGGGTTGGTTCCCAACTTGGGAACAAGCCCCGGACTACCCCATGTCTCTCTCAGCTTCACCAGGAGGGCTGGGAGGACAGCCTGGTCTGGTGAGGAGTCCTAATGAGGCAATGGGACAACCTAGGAGGTCAGAGGTAGGAGGCTGACAACCATCCTGGCATGCCTAGGATAGGCCACGTTTTAGCACTGCAAGCCTGCGGTCCCGGGACACCTCTCTCCACCCCCCACCCCCCATCCCAGGCACACTGGGATGGCTGGCCACCCTGGAGGTGAAATGCTTTATTGACCAGCCTCTCCCAACAGCTTGCAAACCCATGCAAAGCCAGTCCTTGGGCTCTATTACCATCCTGTCTGCCAGAGAGGTGACTCAGGCAGGACCAAGGGAGCTAAGTGCTGGGTGCTGGGCTGAGGTTCCCCTGTGGGCTTACCAGTAGCCAGCTGTCTGGGGGCCCAACACAGCCTGAATGCCTGGAGTGGATCTCTGTGTGCCTCATGGGTCCCATCCTCTGATGTCCCCAGGCCAAGCCCCGCCCCCCCAGCAGCCAGCACTGCTTTGATTGGCTGTGCTATTTAGTTCCTAAGTGATGTCACCCCTGCCATGGGCAGCTCTTTCCTGATGCCATCATAAACCCCCTGCTTTCCTGGGGCTCCCAAGTGATTGTGCCATCAGACCCTTGGGAGAGGTGCCCAGGAGGAGGCAAGGCAGGGGACAGCCAAAGGTCAGTCCAGTAAAAAGGATCAAGGGCTGCTCATCTGTCCTTGGAATTTGGAACACACACATGACTTGTGCCACTTGAGCTCAGACAGGCACCTCTTGGGCAGTCTCCAGGATCCTGGATGCTACATGGGGCACAGGGTCTCTGATGTCCCTAACCCCTTGCCAGCACCTCTGGCCCCACCAAAGGAGCCAACATGCCCATCAGCAAGTGCCCTCAGAAGTTGCAGCCCCGCTGGAAGGAATGGGACCAGAAGGCCCAGAAGAACGGGTGCAGGCACCAGATATACGCTGTCAACGGTGACTGCTATGTGGGCGAGTGGAAGGACAATATGAGGCATGGTGAGTGGGGGAACCCTGAGGGCTCAGGCGAGTGTGGGGTCTGAACCAGTTTGGGCGCTGGGGCCATGGAAGCAGCATGCAGAAACTCCTTGGGGTGCACGGAGTGGATCCCTGAGGCTCCTCCAGCGGTGAGCACTGACCTGGACCAGCCAGGGGGCTCCACAAACTCAGCCCTGACTCAGACTGAGCAAGGGTCTTCTTGGCCAGTGGGGGATAATGGGGCCTGAGATACCAGCCTGCACCTGGGCTCCAGGGCTCCAGCTCACTGAACCCACTGATACTTAGGCTAAACCTGAGGTTTGTTAGCACTGGAGAGAGGTGGCGCCCCAGAAACAGAGTTGCAACGGTGATTCTGTTCTTCAAACTCAACCCATGTCCTGAAAGACTGCTGACCGAAAGGTCTGACCAGCAGGGGGCGAGGGAGGCCCCGAGAGGTAGCTGGGCTCAGACTTGACAAGGTCTGACCAGCAGGGGGCCAGGAGGTCCTGAATTGCGAACAGTTTTCATTCCAAAACCGTGGCAGGACTTCTTGCTCTAATGTTGCAATTCCAGATTCCAGGCTCTTAGCCACTCCCCTCTGCCTTGCTGGGTTAAGTCCTTTGGAATCCATGAACTGAAGTTAGAATCCCAGTTCCCTCAGTGATGACCTTGACAGAGTCACAAAACTGAGCCTTTGTTTCCCTACCCATAAAATGGGAATAATGCCTATCTGTGAGGATAAAGAGATGCCGCCTGTCGAGTGCTTAGCTGAGAGCCTGGTGCAGAAAGAGAGCTTCTGGAATGCTTTTGTGGGCAGAACGGGGCAGCCTTCCAAAGCTGACCCCATCCCATGTTTTACAAAAACCACCCTCAATGCTCACCTAAAGTCGAGGCTTTCTGCTTTGTTCTGAGCTCTGCTTGTGGTTATAGATTCCCCAGTGTGTTCTTGAGCCCTTGGGGTCAGCATGTGGGTGGACAGAGCCCTGGCCTGGGAGTTAGGACCCAAAGTTCCCAGCTCTACTAGTGAGAAGCTGGGTGACTCTTAAGTTAAAGTCATGTCCTGTTCTCCAGATCTCAGCTTCCCCATCTATGACAGGAAGGTGTGGGCTGAACTAGCACCCCAAGCTTCGCTTCTGCGTGAGTGAATTCTGCATCCCCTCATACCCAGTGCACTTAGGTATATATCTAGACGTTGAATTGCTGGGTCGTAAGGACCCCGGGTGGTGCTATGGTTAAGTGCTCAGCTGCTAACCAAAAGATCAGAGGTTCAAACCCACCAGCGTGCTCCATAAAGATTTACAGCCTAGGTAACCCTCAGGGGCAGTTCTACTCTCACATAAGGTCCTTGTGAGTCAGAATCGACTGGACGGCAGCCAACAGGATAACTCCATGTTCAGTCTTTTGAAGAACTCTCGGACTGTTTTCCACAGCAGCTGTACCATTTTACGTACAGTTAAGAGGCTTCCAATTTCTCCACACCTTCACCAGCTCTAGTTTTTAAAAGTCCCAGGGAAGAGCTCTGATTGGGCCAGCCTGGGTCCTGTGAGCCCCTCTGTGGCTGGAAGTGAGATCTATTGCCAGCAAATGGTGGAGAAGTTGCCAGAGACAGACAGCAGTGAAGCCATACTCAGCCCCGCCAGGTGGGAGTAGAAGATAACCTCCCCTTGGGGTCTTCTCCACAGCCAGAAGAAATTTCTGGGGGGTAGAAGTCACACACACCCCTTTTCTTTCTTCACACACCTCTCCCCACCTCGGGTTTAATTGTCCCAGCTGGTGACCACCATTTGGGAAAGTTAATGCTCCAGTCACCCTGATCAGGAAACTGGAAGACTTTTACCTCTCTCACCTGTGGGACTGCCAACAGCTCTTGACTGATGTTTGTTTAGGAAGGGGAAGGGGGCAGGAAGCTCCCCTCTGTCCATGGTTCACGTGAGGGGCTGGGTGCAGTAGTGCCTTTCTGTTTGCAGGTTTGTGTTCATGATTATGCACTTAATGCCTTTCACTTGCTTCTTTCAGCACAGGCTTTGGAGTCAGGCTGCTTGCCTTCAAAGTCTGGTTGTGCCATTTCCACCCTTGCGAGGCTGGGCGGTCACTTATCCTCTGTCATCTGGCTTCAGAACACAAGCTGGAGAGCTGTTTGTAGAAATAGAATTTTCTTGGGGTTTTGTGGGTGCTAGGGGTCTAGAGACTCAGATCCTGTCTCCACCCTGGAGAATCAGCCAGTCGAGGAAACAGGAGACCCCCTGACGCAGGGCAGACACCCACCTCCTCCCCATGTTAGCCATGTTTGCAGCACTGACCCATCTGTGTGTCACCAGGAAAAGGAACACAGATCTGGAAGAAGAAAGGCACCATCTATGAGGGGGACTGGAAGTTTGGGCAGCGAGATGGCTATGGCACCCTCAGCCTTCCGGACCAAGAGACGGGAAAGTACAGGAGAGTCTATTCAGGCTGGTGGGCAGGCGATAAGAAGTCGGTGAGTGGTTCCCATCATGCCCTGGGGTATGGTCAGGGGCTATGTTTGTGTCTGTGTGTGCAGGGCGAGAAGTCAGAGAGGCTATGAATAAAAAGCAGGGGGACCTGAGGGAGGGGAACAGGGTTGTGGGTGGGAGAAGGAAGGGATGGGGGTTATCAAGCCTGTCAGAACAAAACCCAGGAAACAGGAAGCAAAGGAGAGGGCCGGGAGGAGCCCATGGAACCCTTTGGCTACAAGCTGCCGGCAGTCTGAGTGGGCCAGTCTTCCCCACCCTCTTCCTCACTCATTTCCTGGCTTTCTTTTCCTGAACAGAACATCCCTTTCTGACAATTCCTTTTCTGTTGGGTCTGGATTGGGGGGCAGGGGGTCTAGGAAAAGTGAGGGCAAGAAAGCAGAGGCCCCACTCTTGGCTGCAGGACAAAAAAGGAAGGGGCAGGGACAGTCCTAAGGGGCAGAAAGCAGCCAGGGAATGTCCTCACCACATACATATATGCCCAGACCTGGGACAGATTTCCTCAAGCTACTCACACACTTGAGTGAACTCCCACTATGTGCCAAGGAGACAGGTAGTGTTTATTACTGAATAACTACTATTGGGGAGCTCTGGGGGCATAATGCCTAAGGCATTTGACTGCTAACCAGAAGGCTAGCGGTTCAAACCCAGCAGCCACTCCTTGGAAGGAAGATTGGGCAATCTACTTCTGTAGAGATACTGCCTCAGAAACCCAAGGAGGGGTTGTACACGATGAGTTGGAAAAATGACTCGACTATTGAGAACCTGGCACATTATAAACGGTACTTGTAATTCTCCTAACAGCAGTGCATCGTAGTCACTGTTATCATACCCATTTTACTGATAAGGAAACAAGCTCAGAGAGGCGAAGTACCTTGCCTGGATCACACAGCTGGTAAATGGCAGAGCCCAGGATTTCAGAAGCACTTGGTTGCTAACCAAAAGGTCAGTGGTTCCAACCCACCAGCTGCTCCATGGTAGAGAAGACCTGCTTTGGTAAAGCTGACTGCCAAGAAAACCCTATGAGGTGATTCCACTCTGCTATAGGGTTGCCATGAGTTGGAATCCTCTCTCCAGAACACAACAACAACAGTTCCCAAGTTGTTGACCTGTGGGGAGAGAGATTCCAAAATAGACACTTTGCATACAATATGGTGTTAGGATAAACGTTTTCACAGGAACCCCAGGGAAAGCTCATTAAGCCCAGCCTAGAGAATTCAAGGCAGGCTTCCTGTAGGAGGTGACACCAAAAGATGCTGGGAGTTCCGAGGCTATAACTCTACAAAGTAGACCACCCCCATCTTCCTTCTGTGGAAGGGCTGGTGGGCTTGAACCAGTGACCTTCTGGTTACCAGTCAAGTGCCTTATCCACTAAGCTACACCACCAGAGCTAGGAGTCAGTTTGGGAGAAAGGGGAGGTAAGGGATTGGATGCAGAGGCAGCAAAGGGAGGGAGATGTGAAACAGCAGGGTGTGTGCCCACCGGAGTGACTGGGGCAGGGGTGAGGACAGGATAGGGTTGAGGGAGGGTCAGGATTTTGAGGAGTAGACTGGTGGTGCTTGACCTGCCCTCCTTGGGTGTGACCTGCTGGGGTCCATGCATCCCTGTGGTTGGACATTTATGTTTGTTTTTTTCTGGGGACAAAGTACCTAGCTGTTACATGATCTTCAGAGGGGTCTGTGACCCATAGCAAACATTTGAGTTGAGTCCAACTCATGGCGACCCCATGTGCAGAGTAGAACTGTGCCCCATAGGGTTTCCAATAGCTGATTTTTGGGAAACCCATCATCAGCACTATCTTCAGAGGCACCTTGAACCTCCAACCGTTCAGTCAACAATAGAGCATAAAATGGTTAGGACAGAGAGACTCCTTGTTACCCATAATAAAGCCACAATCAGAGTTGGAGGTGACCCGATGGGCCTTTTGCAGATCCCACTGCCTGCTGTATTCTGGGGGGCGGTGCGCAGGACCAGTGAGACCCAGGGTCCAATGAGGAGGCGAGAAACAAACGTGGGCTGCAGGAAAGCTGTAGGGGAGGGATGGGGAGACACCCCAGAGACAGAGGTGTACCAAGACGTGAGCGTCGGCTTGGATGTGGGGCTTAGGGAGAAAGCTAGGAAGCATCCCAGGTGCTTCTCGGGTGCCTGGGAGGATGATGGGGTCTGCCCTAGTGATGGTTGGCGGGGTGCCGTGAACCGGGACACCTTTGTGCTTACAGGGCTATGGGATCCAGTTTTTCGGACCTAAGGAGTATTACGAGGGTGAGTGGTGTGGCAACCAGCGCAGTGGGTGGGGCCGCATGTACTACAGCAACGGCGACATCTACGAGGGCCAGTGGTTGAACGACAAGCACCACGGAGAGGGCATGTTGCGTCTGAGTGAGTGCCCCGCCCCTCCCGCGCGGCCCCGCCCCTCCCGCAAGTCCATGTTCCTGCCTAGCTGCCCCGGCCCCCAAATCGTGCTTGGTATCAATGTGGGATAAGGTGAATAAGGGGACCGAATTCCTGCCCTCAGGGATCTTATTCTCTAATAGGGAAGACTAACAATAAATACACAAAGCAAGACAATTTCTTACTGCCTTAATAATAATTAAGGCTACTTGATAGTCGATTACACTATTATTAATATAATAGCACCAACTACTTTAGTTATACTGGCTCATTTAATTCTTGTAGCAACCCTATAAGATCAGTACTTTTATCATCTCCTTTTTTTACAAATGAACCCGAGCCACAGAGAGGTTAAGACATTTGCCCAAGGTCACACAGCCTTGTGGGCTTAACAGTGGTAAGGAGAATAGAAACTAGGAATGTGTGTTGGAGAATGACTTAAGAGGTTGGGAGACGAACTAGTTCAGATTGACTTATAAATCAAACCACCAGGGGTGGGAGGGGAGGGGAGGGAACACTGCAAATAATAATAATAATAAATAATAATAAAAGAAAAGAAAAGAAAAAAAACCTCAGTGCTGACAACCCACAGCAACATTGTAGGATAGAGTAGAGCTGCCCCATAGTTTCCAAGGTTGTAAACTTTACAGAAGCAGATTGCCTCATCTTTCTCCCGAGGAGCAGCTGGTAGGTTCAAACTGCCAAGTGTTTGGTTAGCAGCCAAGGGCTCACCAGTGGGTCACCAGGGCTCATAGACTGACCTTGTCAGGTTCAAATCCAGCCTCCAGCTTTCACTAGCTGCATGACCTTGGGGAAGGACCTCTGGTGGTACAGTGGGTAAGGCATTTGGCTGCTAACCAGACAGGCGGTGGTTTAAACCCAACCAGCTGCTCCTCGGGAGGAAGATGAGGCCATCTACTTCCCTAATCTTCTTCCAACTGTGAGTTGGAAGCAACTCCACGACAGTTAGTTTGGTTTGAGTTTGATGTTGGGCAAATCCTCTGTGTTTCAGTTTCCTCATCTGTAAAATAAGGATACAAATAAAACTTGTCTTCTAGAGTTATTGTGAAGGTTCGATTTATATTTGTAGCACGCTTAGCATGGTGCCTGACAACAAGTAAGTGCCCAATGATATTATTAGCTTGTACTTACACAGAGCAGGGGTTGGCAAACTACGGCCCTCAGGCCAAATGCAGCCCAACATTTGTTTCTGTAATTAAACTCTTAAAAAAATGTCTAAATTATTTATAGTAGTGAAAATTACATAACATAAAATTAACCATTTTGAGGAGAATAACTTAGTTCTCTAAATTGTAAATATTCACAATGTCGTGCAACTACAGCTTCATCTAGTTCCAAACCATTCCCATCACTCTAAAGCAAAACCCCTTTCCCATTTGTAAATAAAGTTGTATGGCACAGAACCATGCTCACTCAATTATGTATTATCTATGGCGCTTTCACGCAGCAATGACCAAACTGATTAGCTGCAACAAGAGACCATAACTCACTCACTGCCATCGAGTCAGATCCGACTCATAGCGGCCCCTCCTTGGGTTTCCGAGGTGGTGTCTCTACGGAAGTAGATTGCCCAGTCTTCCTTCTGAGGAGTGGCTGGTGGATTTGGACCACCAGCCTTCTGGTTAGCAGTCAAATGCCTTAGGCACTTTGCTACCAGAGCTCCTACAAGAGACCATATTGTAGGCCATTTTTCGGCCTGAAAAACCGAAAATTGTATCTGGCTCCAAACAGAGAAGGCTTGCTGGCCTCTGATCTAGTCCCTTCTAAGTTCTAAGTCCCTTCTGTGTATGATTGATTTGATATTCACAAATCTACCAGGTAGGTGCTACTGTTACCCCTTTTAGAACTAAGAAAATGTTTAGGTGACCTACACAAGGTCACAGCTAGTCCGAGCTAAGAAAGGTTAGTTTTATTATTATTTTTACACCACCACCATCAAATGACAAGTACATTTATAACTGACTAAGAGCATGGGCTCCTGAGATGAGCAGGTCTTGGGTTCAAGCTCTGCCTTTGCCACTTCTACCTCTATGACCCAGACCAAGTCAGTTAAACTCCCAAGTGCCATCTGTAAAACGGAGTCCGTAATACACTATGTTGTTGTTATGTGCCATCGAGTCGGCCCCGACTCATAGCGACCCCTTCTTGGGTTTCTGAGGCAGTATCACTACGGAAGTAGATTGCCCCATCTTCCTTCCGAGGAGTGGCTGGTGGGTTTGAACCGCCAGCCTTCTGGTTAGCAGCCAAGTGCCTTAGCCACTATGCTACCAGAGCTCCTGTAATACACTATAGAGTTTTATTTGTGAGGCCTGAATGAGGCCAGGAATGTAACATGGAGCCAGGCACAGAGTAAGTGTTGAAAGACAAACGCCTTTTCTTTTTATTAGCAGTTTTTTACAGAGAGGAAACTTGATGCTAAAACTTGAGCTTGCCCAAGCTCAGGTGAGTGGTGAAGGTGAGACTTGAACCAGGTCTGATTCTAGAAGCTGCTGACACCCAGGGCTCTAGCATTTACATGTAAACCAGTCTTCCTCTACCCCATTCCCACCCAGCCCAGCCCATGCTAGTCAACACGGATGCTCTTCCGTCGGGCTGCCTGGTGGGCACTGTGGAGGGTCCAGCCTTGTTTGATGCGTCTAAGCCCCCCCACCCCCCATTCTTTCCCCCAGGGAATGGGAACCGCTACGAGGGCTGCTGGGAGAGAGGCATGAAGAATGGGCCAGGGAGTTTCTTCCACCTGGACCACGGGCAGCTGTTCAAAGGCTTCTGGGTGGACGACGTGGCCAAGTGTGGCACCATGATCGACTTTGGCCGTGACCAGGCCCCCGCACCCACCCAGTTCCCCATTCCTCAGGTACGCAGCCCCCGTGCCCTCACCAGGGGGCCCTATAGCCACACACAGAGAGACAGACCCCAGCCCCCTAGCTCACCCTGGCCCACCAGGGAACAGACAAGACAAGCAGGTTGTGTGCTCAGTCTAGGCATCCTCAATGAGGCCACCAGCCTGGGGCTTCTCTAGCCCAAGGGTTTAGGGAAACTCTCCCCTGCTGCTTCCCTCTAGGTGAAAATACTAGACCCTGATGGTGTGCTGGAGGAAGCCTTGAGCATGTTCAGGAAGACGGAAGAGGAAGGAGATTGATGCCTGGTGAGGGACTGGCACCCTGCCACCCTCTGGCATGGCCCACATCTCCTGGGATCTCCTCTGGCCAAGGGGCTCTAGGGCCAGAGAAGGTGGCTTCCTGCCTTCAGGAGCCTAGCAGATCCCTTTTGGTTCCTCCCCTTCACATCCCGTTTTACATAATCCTGACCAAAGCCTCCAGTTTGCACCCTGGGCTTGCTGGGATGAGCAAAATTCCCTGCAGTAAGGGGGTTTGCCTCTCCTGGGGCGGGGGTAAGAGTGGGAGGAGAGGGCATTGCCACAGCCCTTGCAAACGCCAGCTTTCCACTGTCCCCACCAACCCTACACAGAGAACAGCGAAGCTCAGCCCTGAGGGAGAAATCCAAGCACATGTCACCAGACTGCTCAGACCAGTGCAGCTCACCCCAGGGGAGTGAGTGGTGGCTCCAGACACACCCTTGGCATCCTTACAGGGCACCTCACTCCTCCCAAGACTGGATCCTTCTTTGCCTGTGGTGGTGGTGGGGCAGGACTTTCCTCATCAGCCTGGTGGTGGGGACCCTCCCTCTCCTCACTGCCTTCATCTCTACACCCTTCCGGAGTGCATGAGAATAAAGGAGAGCTTGGCGGTGCGAGCTGGGGCTGCAGGGTGAGGCTGGGAGTGGGGACACTCCAGAAGGGGTTGCAGGTGGAGAAGGGGGAGGGCGTCCCCATGGGGCCACAGACTGACCTGGGGAGAAAGGGCCATGCTTCCAGGTCTCTGCCCACCGAGTATCCCAGACAGGAGACAGCCTGCACCCACTCACAGGGGCTTGGTCATCCTGACCTCCATCTCCAGTTTGACAACAGGCTCAGAACCTGGGAGTCATGTGGAAGATGTCAGATAGTCAGATAGAGACGCCCAGGTTCCACGCCCAAGATGTTGACTTCATCTGTCTGCGGTGAGGCCTGGGCTTTGTAAAATGTTCCCCAAGCGCTTGGAGTATATGTCACTCTCCTGAGGTACTAGCTGTGGAACCCTGAGCACATGACATCAGATGGCCCATCTGTAAAAGGGGTCTCCTGAGACCTCACAGGTGTTTTGAGGATTTGATGAGACCCGACTGACGTCACAATGCTGAGTAACACGTATTGAGATTCACTGTGGACCGGATCCAGGGAAGCGCTTTGCATTCCCGTCATGCAGGAGGGATGTTCGCATTGTGGGGAAAGCATGCTCTCTGCAGTCAGACTGCCCGGCTGTGAACCCCAGTGGTGGGATCTTAGCGGTGCCTTTGTGAACATCAAGCTCCCTACTCTTCTAGGTTTCCTGCCCTGTGACATACGGACAGTAATGTACTTACCACCCAGAGTTCAGAGCCCTGGTGGCACAGTGGTTAAGTTCTTGGCTGCTAATTGAAAGGTTGGTGGTTTGAACCCACTAGCTGCTCCGTGGAAGAAAGGTGGGGCAGTGTGTTTCTGTGAAGATTTATAGCCTTAGAAACCCTATGGGGCAGTTCTATTCTGACTTGTAGAGTTGCTGTAAGTCAGAATCAACTCCATGTAAGGATGAATTAAGGCAGTGGTTTTCAACCAGGGCAATCTTGCCCTCCCTTCTGAGGGAACTCTGGCAATGTCGGAAGACGTGTTTTGGATGTCACTACTCAGTTGCGCTACTGGCATCTAGTGGGTTGAGGCCAGGGATGCTGCTAACGTCTTACACAGGACAGCCTCCCATCCCAAAGAATGTCCCAGCCCACAATGTCACAGAAACCCTGCAATACAGCGAGGCTTGTAAAGCCCTCCACAAGTATCTGCACATAGTAAAGACTCAATACTGCTCCTTGACATTGAAGTTCTCTCTGCCCCCTACATCATCAGCAGGGTGACCTGACCCAGGGCCCAGCTCGGGAAGCTAAGCCTGGCCACCCTGGGATGTAGAATTAACAGTAACTGCCAGGCATTGTGCTGTGACACCCCAACCCTGTACATGTCCTGTTCTTAGTACTATTTTAGAAGAGGAAACAGGTTCAGGGAGGTTCACAAGTCATCAAGCTAGAGTGCCTTCCACTCACTCCCATTTGGATCGAACTGCTCTTAAGGTACACCTTAGGAGCTCTGGTGGTGCAGTGGCTAAAGCATTTGGCTGCTCACCAAAAGGTTTGTGATTCATACACACACATACACACACACACACCCCAGCTGCTCTGTGGGGGAAAGATGAGGCAGTCAGCTTCCATAGAGATTTACACCCTTGGAAACCCTATGGGACAGTTCAACTCTGCCCTATAGGGTCTCTATGAGTCGATGGCAGTGGGTTTGTTTTTGGCTTTTAGGGTACAGATTAGCGTGTGTAGATGGCTATCACTGTCCAGAAAAAGTGTGTTGTGTGTTGGGCTCACTTGTTGATGTATAAAATCTCTCTACACAGGAATGAACTACTAGGAACCATGGTTGTCTCTGGGAAGGAAGAGGACTTTTCAGTGTTGTGTCTGGGACCAGATGAACGTATTATCTATCCAAGATAGAATTAAAACTGAAATTCAAGAGAGGCTGTGTTCTTATCCACCATTTCTCAAGTTGGCTGGGTGTGAGAGTAGCTAGGGCTCTTGTTAAAAATACAGGGACACACCCAGACCAACTTGAATCTCATCTCCAGGGGAAGGGCTGAAAATCTGCATTTTTATAAGCCAAGCTGGTGATTCTTGAGTTCAGGCCAGTTTAGACATAAGACTCCCATACTGAAGCCAGAAAAGCCGCCACCATCTGTGAAGTAGGGAGACAGACCCCTTAAGGACCACATGAAAAATGCCCAGGCCTTCCTGGGGGGCAGTGGAGGGGCTTCAGGTGGGGATCCCTGCCTGGTCCTCCTAAGCCCTTCCACCCCAAAGGGCATCTGGGGACGAGGAGTGGTGGGTCCTTGTGTGTGGGGTACAGGGTGTGAAACGCTGTGGCAGGGGAGGGCAGGGCCCCGCCCAACCAGCCCACAAAGCTGCTATTCAGTGTGTGAGTCTGCATGAGACAAGCACTTAAGGCCATACTTTCCAAACTGCTTGACACTTGGGATTCTGTGGAAGCATCCTGGGGAACAGTAATGGGAGGGACAGAAATGTTAGGCCTGTCCACGCCCCAGACCTTTCAGCAGCAGCAGTTTGGCTTTTAGAAAAGAACATTTTCTATGTGGAGCACAGAGAGGTCTCAAACTCAAGGACCCACGGAGGGCCTAGCCTGCTGAGAGACAGGAGGGAGTGGTGGGGACTGCGGCAAACGTGTGGAAGGTGGCAGCTGCTCCTTAGTTCCTGTTCATTTTTGCTCTGAAACAGTGAGGTGCAGGGCTGCTGGATCTTGACATTCCCAGGTTCTCACCCTCTTTGGGCATCAGTCGTACCATCTGTAAAATGGGGCTAGTAACAGTATCCACCTCATAGGGATGCTGATGCCTAGTGCTTAGAACAGTGTCTACACATCTTAATGGTTACCTATCATTGGTGGTTGTTCTGTAAAAAAAAAAATCTGAATAATATTCCTGCCAAAGTGCAAAACCTGAATCTAACGACAAACAAAATGGACATGACAGTTTACAGAGCCATAGCCTGGACTCTTCAAAAAGGTTAATGTTTTGAAAGATGAAAGCTAAGGAATTTTCCAGATGAAAGGAGCTAACAGTGCAACATGTGATCTTGGACTGTTAAAATCACTGCTGGAAAGCACATTACTGGAACAAGTGGATCATCAGAATATGGATATTATATAGAGGTAGTCCATCCATGTCAAGTTCATGGAACTGGACAATTGGACGGTGGTTATGGAGGAGAATGTCCTTATTTTTAGGAGGAAGTATTTAGGCACGAGAAGGAGCCCTGGTGGCACAGTGGTTAAGGGCTGGGCTGGTAACCTTAAGGTCAGCAGTTTGAACCCACCAGCTGCTCTGTGAAAGATGTGGCAGTCTGCTTCCACAAATATTATACAGCCTTGGAAGCCACAGCAATGGGTTCAGTTTTTGGTTTTGTCTTGGGCACGAAGGGTTGTGCCATCTACAACTAAAACATACACTTCAGGGGAATTATGTATTTTGCTCACTTTTCTTACTTTTCAGTAGGCTTAAAATTTCTACAAAGAAATGTCTGAAAGATATGGAGAATTCTGCTTCAGGGCTCAGCTGGTTCAGGCAGCACCCCAGACCCAACAGACACAGACACAAGGAACTGTCCCTTACAAGTGTATTTCTGTGTTCACACACACACACACACACATACACACACACACACACACGCTCGACATGGCACGGGGCAGGAGGTTGAGACAAAGAACAGGAAGCATCCAGGTGGCCCTGACATGGGACCAGAGGAGGGCTCCGGCCCCCACTGCCTCCCAACAGGTGAACATGGATCTGGAAGAACAGGAAATGCTATTCTCTTAAAGGCAAGTTTCAAAGTGCAGTCATTTCTCTTTAAAAAAAAAAACCCTCTTCCCTCCATTCTCTGCCCCCCAATGGAAAGCCAGCCCCCTGTGCAAGCTGTCCTTCAGGCCAGGGCAGGACAAGGCCACGGGGAAGGGGTGTTAAGGCCAAAGCTTGGAAACACCCAGACCCACGAGGGCTCAGGCGTAGTGGCTGCCAGGTGTCAGTGGGTGGTCCCCTCTGTGGTCCAGCTGGTCCTGCAGGCGAGCAAACTCAGCCAGCTCATTGAGCTCCTGGAACTGTCGGTCTGTCTTGTGGCTGACCAGTGAACGGTAGAAGTGGACGGCAAAGACGATGAAGACCAAGCCGAAGGGGACCATGATGGTGGTGGAGGCGATGGCGGCCGCCTGGCCCGGCGTGATGCCGTCAGGGCTGCTGCCGTTGACGCCGAGGGCCCCGCCGCCAGCTGAGGGCTTGCTGGTGGGCTGTGGCTGGCCCGCCTGCTTCTTGAGGGGGAGGAACTTGACCCAGCAGAGCAGCACGACCTCGGCCAGGAAAAGCAGCGTGCCGATGACGGTGGAGAAGGCCCAGGCCAGCTCGATGTGGCGGTGCATGCGCTCGTGCGGCGACTCCTTGACGGAGTTGAGGTTGTGCACGTTGCTCACGGCCTCGATGTTGGGCAGGATACAGGTGCTGATCATGAGCGCGAACAGGTGCACGGCCACCAGGACCGTGGTGCAGGCACTGAAGGCGATGAGCAGCCCCGGCGGGTAGTCGTGGCCAGCATCCAGCTGTACCTCCACCATTGCCACCTGTGGGGGCAAGGACAGGCGGGGTGACTGCCGGGACAGCCATGGCCCATGGGGATAGTGACGGGCTCCAGCTCAAACCCATCCGTCTCTAAGACCCTGGGGTCATTTGCCTGCTCAGAGCCTCAGCTGCTGTATCTGTCTAATGGGGACAATAAGACCTACCCACTTGGGAAGTGGCAGACAGTAATTGGTGAAGAAAGTGGGCTGCCTGGATTTGAATCCCGGCTCTGCCACTCACAAGCTGTGTGTCCTAGGGAAAAGCATTTAGCCTCTCTGAGCCTCCATTTTCCTACCCATGAAATGGGGACAGGCTATCAGTTCACAGAACTGTTTTAACAATTAAACGAGAGCCCTCAGCACTTGGTAAACAACTGGATGGAAACCACTCCAGTTATCCTCACCCAGCCAGCAATGAAAAACCAGCCACCACGCCTGCCGGCCATGAACTCCCCACCACGTAGAGGCTGGTGCTTCATGCCTTGCTCTGGGGACCAGGACAGGAGTACGGGCTGGAGAGGTGAAGGCCCCAGGTCCTTCATGAGAACACAGTGCACTGACCGACAAGGAACTGAGAGGCTTCCCAGAAGAGGTGGGTGCGGGCTATGCCAGCAAGCCCTGAGGGTGTCTCCTCCAGTGCCAGCTCCAGGCTCTAGCACTGACGCACTAAACGCTCTCCAGTTCCTGGAGACTTGTGCATCCAGGGTCGCCAAGGGCACCTCTCACCACCCGCAGCTTCTCACCTGGACCTTACGCGTCGCCCCCAGCTGAAGCAGCCAGCTTATCAGATCTGGGACGGGAGCCACGGGGGGGGTGGTGGCAAGCGGCCAGGTCTACCCGCAGGAGCTGGGACTGGAGGGGCCCCTGCAGCTGACGGCAGCAACACCATCGAGGCTGGTGGTAGTTAGTGGCCGTCAGTGCCCCCACACATTCGTGGTGACCCCCGTACCACATAATCAGAGCGCTGTGACCCACAGGGTTTTCACTGATTTTTGAAACTAAACTGCCAGGCCTTTCTTCCCAGTCCACCTCAGTGTGCAAGGTCTGGTGAAACCCATTTTTCATCATAGCAACACGCTAACCTCCAACGCCAGGCAGATGGTCACTACGTTTGAGGTGCCTCAGCAGGCGATCAAACCCAGGTCTCTGGTGTGGAAGGTAAGAATCCTACCACTGACCCACCACAATCAACTATGAAGGGTGCAGGCTCCTTATCAACTGCTCTGTAACATGCAAACATGAATGAACTCAGCTGCTCACTTAAAGGATGATGGTACGAGTCCATCCAGAGGTACGTCAGGAGGCCTGGCACTGTTCTTCTGAAAAACCCCGTGGGGCACAGTTTTACTCTGACACACATGGGGTTGCCGTGACTAGGAGTCACTTGACAACTGGTTGGCTGGGTGGTGGGTATGTGTGTACCAGGCTGAGACAGAGGAGGGCTCATGCTAGAAACTTCCCACTAGCCTCTCCCCATGACCCAAAGGCGGATGGGAATGGGCCCCTTCCTGTCTCCCCAGCTCACCTTCTACCTGTAACATCTGGTCCTGTTGAAAAGGGGTGTGTGCCCAAGAAACGCTTTCATTTCTTGTCCCCTGCATCCTTTAAGAGGCCTGGGAAGGTCATATGGGGCAGTGGTCAGGGGCATGGGCTCTGGAACCGGGTTGCCTGGTGGTGAACCATGGCGCTCTGCCCCTTACAGGTTGTGTGACTCTGGCAAGTGACGTCACCTTCCTGTGCCTCAGTTGCCCTGTCTGTAAAAGAGGTATATAGCACCAGGTTGTTCTGAGTAGTCAGTGATTTAACGCCACATAAAATATTCAGTGCCTGTCACACAGAGAACCCTCCATGAAAGTAAGCTTCATTATTCAGTTTAAAAACTTCAAGCCTACACCCACCAGCTGGACATGACATGAAGTCCTCTTGGGGCTTCCGCCCGTCTGTCTGCCTGAGGGGTCCGCTTGGGCTGGGAAACCACTAGGGCCTAACCCTCACTCCTTGGTTTTGGCTTCAGACCCACCCTGTTCACTGTGTGACTAGGTCAAGACCTGCCCTTCTGGGCTTCCCAGGCCTTCTCAGTAAAACAGGGTGTGGTAAGAAAAGGTCAGGGCTAGAAGGCATTTGGGGTCAGTCGCCATTAGGAATCTGATATAGGGGATGGCTCCTTGCTCCAAACATCCAGGCCAGGTGTGTGTATTACTGGACTCTGCAGACATATCTGACCGCATTCATTTCACAGACATTCCTCCCTCTGTCCCCTTAATTCACAGTCTTTCGCCTAAGAATTCCCAGAAAAGAGATTGTACATACTTTTCAGCCTCAGAGTTTACTAAACGTTTCAAGCTCATATAAATTTGGGGCAGGGCTATCAGGCTTTCTACCGTATCAAAGATCACTGGCTGGCTGAAGCCAAGCCCGGGAATTCTTGGTACATGAGGGTGTTGGGTGGTACCAGGCACTGGACACCAGGCCTCTGGGCATGGTGAGTTCAGGGCTGCGTCCCGTGGGTACCCTGCTCACACCCCCAGGCCTGACCACACCTGGAACCACGGAGCCCCACTCCAACAGCAAGTGTTTCCTGCCAGCTCCCCTCCCTGCCCCCCACCAGCACTTCCTCTTCCTGTTTTGGCCGTCTGCCCCTGAACCTGAAACCCAAGAGGGATAAGCAAGAGAGGCCGCTGCTTGGCAGACCCAGGGCCACTGGCTATTTAGGTGCTCATGGGAAATGCCCAGACCCATAGGTGGCTCAGGACCTGAGCTGGCAGCTGGGGGCACAGTCAGGTAACAGTCCTACTTCAGCTGGGCCCCCACTTTACACCTGCCGCCCTCTAGGCAGCCATGTCTCCCCATCCACACAGTCTCTTTAAGAGCACAGACCCAAGAGCCAAATCCCAGCGCCTTCCACTTACAAAGCTGGAGACCCCGGGCAAGTCTTTCAACCTCTTTGTGTCACAGTTTAAACCAAAACCAAACCTGCTGCTACTGAGTGGATTCTGATTCACAGCAATCCTTTAGGACAGAGTAGAACTGCCCCGTGGGGTTTCCAAGGCTATAAATCTTAACAAGATTTATCTTCAAACTACCAACCTTTGGGCTAGCAGCCAAATGCTTTAACCACCGCACCACTAGAGCTCCTGTGCCACTGTTTACTCATCTATAAAAGGGGACTGACAGGAGTTATCCTAAAGATTAAATAAGTTCATGAATATCAAGCCCTTAGAACAAGGCCTGGCATAGAATAAGCTTTACCAGCTGTAACAATTAACATATTATCACCACCTTACGAAGGAAGAAAGGAGGCTCAGAGAGGGGAGGTCAGTTGCCCAAGGGTCATACACTGCTGTTGGGTGAGGAGCCTGGAGTTAAACTGGTTCTAAAGCCCATGTGAAATAGAGGTACAAGGACTGCTCCCCTCAAATGGTCGTTGTGGAGATTAAGGCTTGATTGTAAAGGGGCACAGGTCTGAAGACACAGGAGGTGCCCAATAGAGGTTAGTTCGTAAGACAAATCCAGGGCGAAGAGTGGAAGAGAAATAACCCTTGGATGCCCTCAGCTCAAGAAGCTCTGGTGGCACAGCGCCTAAAGCACTTGACTGCTAACCACAAGGTTGGCAGTTCAAACCCACCACCGGCTCCGCAGAAGGAAGATGGGGCAATCTACTTCCATCAAGATTTACTGCTTCGGAAACCCAATGGGCGTCGTTGGTATCAACTTGATGGCAGTGAGTTTGGTTTTTTTTGCCCTTGGCTCAAGCTGTGGAGAGCTGGGTCCCTTGGAGGGGTAAGAAGTACAGGCCCCCAACTCAGCTGTGTCCAACCTTGGGAACTGGGAGCCCAAAACTATAGCTGGTCACCTCAGAGGGGCAGAAGGCTTCTTCCACCATTTCTCTCATCCACAGGGGCTGAGAACAGAACGAGCCTGTCTTGCTCAAGGCCTGGGGCCGGGGGAGGCAGGAGGCTTGGCCTGCGGTGCTGGCACCTCCAGCCGGAGGAAAGAGCTGGTCACTGCGTTCTACAAGGAACCTGTCACCTTGCTGGACCCTCCCATTTCTGGAGGTCAGGCCACATGGCTGGCTGTAGGCACCTGCCCACATGTGAGACCATATTCAGTACCACGAGACTGTGTGAGAACATTTGCATGAGGAAGGGGCCCAAATCCTGGACCCCAGCGAAACCCACTCCTAGGAATGCACATCTCTGCTTTCCCCAGAATGTGTCTTTGCTTGCTTGGGACATCTCCCCATGGATGGGAAAGCAGAGAGAGACAGGGGGGCCTCCCAGAATCTGGCTACCGCCTCCCAGGGCCCCACAAGTCCCAGAGATCAGATTGCACGAAGCTTCACTAGGTAAATATAGCCAGAGCGCTGGGCCTGTCCTTCTCCCAAAATAAATACCTCCTGGCAGCCACAGGCCTGCCTGAACCTGGCCACACAGGTCTTTAAAGGGCAGGAAGGGTGGGAGACCACTGTCCTCACCTCAGACTGGGCCACAGATCCCGCAGGAGATACCTGGTTGCCAAACCTCAAGCATGAATCGAAGAAAAGGACCATCCTATCCTGCTAGGGGTGGGGTCCAACTGCCCAAATGCCAACCGCCTCTCCTCAACCCTGCTGGACTCCACCAGGACCCCGACCACCTGTCGCCCAGATATCCAGGTCCCCTAAACAGCCCTCCCATGCCTGGCTAGGCTCTCGCAGCTTCTCGGAGATGTGACTTTTCTTTCCCAAGTCTCGATATTGTCTTGTTTGGCCTTCCAGGCGGGTGGTGGAACACGTGGGCTTACGAGCACAGTCGCCCAGAGCCACTCAGCTGTCTGAGCGCGCCAGTCCCACCTCAAATGCCAGCCATCTACAAGGAGAGCAGTGAGGCCTAGACCAGGCATTGACAAACTCTCCTGATCCTAGCAGCCCAGTCCTCCAAACGCATCTATTAATAGATACACATTTGTAACAGCAACAAAAGTTTCCCCAAACAAAGCCTACCCTTAAAGCACACTAACATGTA